ACGGTTTTGAAGGTCAAGCGTTTCTCTCCCGTAAACAAAAGGTTATTGTTTTTCTTACAAGCAGAACTTTTACGGATAAAGCTGTGAAATGTTTATCATGTATTTCTGAAGCCAGCTAACCGTAAAAAATCTCTCCTGTTCCATCATATATTACTCCCCATCCTTCCTTTGTGCGTTTTTTTATGGACCGAAAGCTTTTAATTGGCTTAATTGAATTTTAATCCGGCTCTTCTGGCCCCATCAACCTCGAGTTCTTGATTTTATGAAGGAGTCCACATAAATTCTGCACACACAGGAGGAAAAAAAAAACACACACACCCTTATTAATATTACTCTGACCAGCTATATTATGTACATTTGGCAGTGGCTGATGCTTCACATCAGCTCAATTTGTGGCCCATTCTGCAGCCATCTCTTTGAAGCATGAGTGCTAAAGTAGCACACCCGGGGTGGTGATTTGCCCACCCGCGGCGTTGTGTGTTCAACTGCGAGGCTTTCACAGATAAATGATGCTGTGTGAGTTGACAGTCGGGCTGATGGGATGGAGCGGCGCCGTCGTAACTCTTCTTCATGAACCTTGGCACCTATCTGACCTCTGACGGCCTCTCTGACTATGACGGCGTGTGTGGACGGTGACGCAGGCGGCAAGGAAATCAAATTATTGGCGGCTAAATTGCCTGTTAAAGAAACGCTGATAAATTTGGACTCGTGTTCGAGTAATTAACCAGTGAAGCCGATAACTGCTCGCTTCACATGTAAAGACAGAATGAAAATGTGACGTCGCATCGGGAAGCTAAATGAAAACATGTTCATTAAGACAATCACCTTGACAACCCGTCTCTGTTCTTTTTCCAGCTGAAGACGTGCAGCGACGCCGACAGCTTCTTTTTTTTCTTTTTCTCTCCACTTGTAGTTACTGTAGAAAGTAATTGTGCGGTTAAAGCTGCCCATTGAATTCTCTGCTGCCTCTTATAATTCAGCTTCTGCAGAAACCTCCAGGCGTGTGTCTCATCACTCAGCAATGCCACACAGTCTGGCCCGCTGCCAGGTTCGACAGTAGCTCCCCTCGCAGCCCTCCGCTTAACTCTCACACACATCAGCCAGCAATCAGAGCTTGGCCGAGCCACCCACTGTCTTGAATTACGCAGCAATTCACTCTGATAAGTACCTTTGCCTTAGTCATGCAGATTCCTGATTGATTTCTGATTGTGGGGTTTCCGTACAGTAGAGCAAAGAAAAGTACGGACAAAGTTAAGCCGCCTGCTTCAGCTCCTTGTTTTCCGTGATCCATTTCCAGCGTCCCGCGGTGCCAGAAGAGCTGTGAGCGCTTGTGTGTGTGTGTTGCGTGGCTCGAGCATCCACGCTGCTTATACGGCCCGTAGAAAGGGATCTTTTTTGGCTCCTTTGCAGCATTCCTGGGTGCATGTGTTATAGCCTCCGAGCCCCCGTCCTGCTGTGCCTGATGGCGTGAAAAGGCACAACTGGGTGAGACCGAGGCACGACTGCAATGTAAGGAGATGAGGGGCTGAGAGTCCGACCTTCTTAACGCAGCTGTCGAGGATTTGGAAAGTGAAGTTTTCTCTCCTTTAGTGCTGTGGAGTACGATTAAGCCCGGACAGCGTTTACTGTGGAGAGGCTTTGGCCTGAGAAAGTTTTGTCATGGCAGAGGAACGGAGACGGATGATGGTGGAAGGAGAAGTATTTGAACGGACAGATATGGAGGGACAGCTGCAGGAAAAGAGAAAAGGCAGAGAGAGAGAGAGAAGAAGTGGGGAGGCCTGTAGAGTCATTTATAAAGAAGATGGTGTTTTGGATTAGCCGTAGGGTTGTGTTAACACAGCAGCGTCAGCAGTATGCCGGCTGCAGTGCATCGTAGATTTCTTGAACTTACCACACAGGCCGGTGAGGCTCCAGCGAGACTCGTATACGAACCTCAAGGCTTTGCCGTGGAGCGATCAATAGCCTGTCAGCTGCTTTAACGAAGGAGTGATACCTTCATTTTCCCCGGATGTGCTTCGTTCCACGTCCTGTCATTTCAATTTCGCCGTCCCCCTACCCAAATGGAAGAGAGATTAAGCATTGTTGTGTCTCAATTTATGCACTGCTGATAGACAAGATTGAGTGTGCAATGGTTGGACGGCTTTCTGCAGCATGTTGTCCATAATCCTTACAGGGTGTTAAACTAAGGATGGCATGATTCATGGAAGCGCAGTAAAACTCACAAAAAAGCCAAAACAGACGGCTTCACAGTAATTTCAGTAAATCCCAACTGGGCTTTTGGCATCCTGCTCTAAAGAATAGCTTCATTACATCATTGTCAGTGAATTGTTGTCCATTTTTATGACTGTTGAAATTCTTTATTTCATCTTGAACATCCTCATCCAGAGCCGTGCAGCATTTGTACCTCCGGGCTAGTCCAGCAGCGCTGCATTTCTACAACAGTAATGGCTCTGAGTAAGAGGAAAGCCAGCCATCCTCAGCTGACTGGCCGATGTGTGCCAGCACTGGCCGACACCACTTCATTCACAGCTGTGTGAGCTCTGCATACACCACAGCTGCAGGGCTCTGCACTCTCCCATGAGATAAATGATACCCCATTACCACACACAGCACAGCAGCGGCTTTTCAACGCCTCTCCCCGCGCTTTCTTATTAAAACAAGGTTATTTGTTTTTGTGGTCCTCACTGCAAGGCCGCGCGTTGTGCTCCGAGTTTGAGAGCCTAAAGTGTTCCTCTGAGTTTAAATCTCTATTTATTAAATATTCTCGTTCTGTCTCATCCTCAACAAGCGGGGGCTGTGTGTTGGAACGCCAAGGTCAGTTTTCTTCCCGTGTCGGATCTTGAGGAATCGTGTTTGAATGCTAACATGCAAACAACCCCAACGCTGTGAAAATTCCCTCTGCGTCCGCCGTGTAAAGCAGAATGTCGTGTGTGTCTCTCAAGATAACTTTCTATCATCGTGGTGGCTGCAAATTCACACATCGAGCACATTCACTTGTATACACATGCTCCACATGCTGCATACGGACAGAAACCGGGCAAAGGGCCACCGGCGGTAAATATAGCTCACAGGGTGAGTGATCGCAGCTCAGGCCAAATCACACTCTGTTGGTCGCTATAGAAACATTGCTAAGCTCACTTTGTGGTTCCTGATGACCAGAAACCAACATCTGTCTCGTGAGCAGGGCTCACTGTGGAGCCGTTGGTCGGGCCTTCTGCTAAATGAATGCTGACAGCCATCTTGTTTTTTTCATGGGCACTGTTTAAAGTTGGCTGTCCAGTTGGCGGTCCACAGTTCCCCAGGGAACAGGAAGAAGGCGAGCTCGTAATGATGCCGAGTAATGATGTAACATAATTATATTTGTCTTGTCACAGAAGTGCGTCAATGGAGCCCTAATTAATTCAACTGGCTAATAGGAGGAACAAACTGTCGTGTTTTTCGCCGGCTGTGTCGCTCTCGGGTTTGCTGTGCTTTCATTCTGCGCAGCGTTTGGCACGTTCTCGCTCTATTGATCCCTGCTTTATTTTCTCTTCATCTTGTTATCGCTCTGCTTTCTTATCATTTTCCTGTCCTCACCTTTTTTTTCTCCACAATGACAAACAAACATTAGCTTCATTCTGCTCTCACCACTTGGCTTCTCTCCTGTTGTTCTTGCCAATCCAACCACACGGCGCTATTCAGTCTCTGCTTGACCTCAGGTCTCGCGGCATTGTGTCTTTTGTTAAAAAAAGAAAACCCTGAAGTCCATTCATCCCGTCTTGTCCTTGCCTTTATTCACTAAATGTGCCTGTAATGAAAGAAAGATTCTGAAAAGATGGCAGAAAAGAAATTATGGAGTAAGACAATTGCCGCCGTCACCGGGTCCACACCTGACTCTATCGATCCGACTGAGAAGACTCAGACGTTGCATTTCAGGATCGTCCCTCAAGCCAGAACCTTCTCCTTTGTACGAATTTTCAGCTCTGCTAAACTCTGAGACAGCCGAGCCTTTAATAGTGTGGGAAATTGAAAACACATCAAACTACCGTCACTATCCTTGCAGAGAACATGACATTGCCACACAGAAATGGTCCTTTTGGCACTTTGCGAGGGCCGTTGTCCTTCAGGGAGCTTATGCAATATCTTTTACAAGAGATAGAGGGAAACTTTAGCCACCATTCCTCAAAATAAAATGGAAATGAAAAGAGTAGCCCTGCCCTCGTAAGTCATCCTGCGGGGAGAAAAGTGACCCCTCTTGTAGGAGATTGAGGCGCTAAATCAGCCTGCAGACACCTCCTGCTCCTCTCATCTGAAGGTGCTCCTGGAGAACCATCATTCATGCTGGAGAGCAAGCGCTTTGATATTCTGTGTATCTTTGCTTCGGCTTTGCAGCTCTGTGGTGCCCATGTGTGGGTTTTTTTTTTTTGTATGCCTCCCGGTGTTTGATCTCAGTCGTGTGCTTGACAAAGGCGGCATTGAAGGATAAAGAGAATTGCATATGGGCACTGCTGCACTGGTGCGAGACTCATTTGCTTTCAGGACTTGCCCAGTCACCTTGACACCTCGTGCCCATGTTTGTGTTGTGACACTGTCTCCTGCAGCACCTTGCTCGGGCTCAGGGCTTTATTGTCTGGAGCGAGGCTCAGACCAGCTGGCCCGCTAGTCTGTAAAATCACAGGGAGACAACTTGAGTGCACTGTTGAGTAACCTGCTGTAAACACGCTGCGCCTCAGGTTGTGCTGCGGACGCTCTTCAAATTTTAATAACAACTCCCGGCTGGTCGGATACAAGGCTAAGTTTTGATATTCCACTTTTATTGTTTGCATAAGCATGTTACCGGAGGACATTATAATTCATGTGAGGCAGGGAATACGAGCCTGCAGGAGAACGCTCGCTGCTTGACTGATTTACTAAATGAAGGAATAAAAAAAAAAAAAACATGTAAGAAGGAAATTCTGAAAGAGCAGGATTTTACTGACAGTAGCAGCAGAAAGTGACCGACTCACTGTTTGTTTCTGCAGACTCTGGACCCGCCCGGCCTGCGGCGCTGACGCTGGATCTTCCTGTTTCTCACACTCCTAAAAAAAGGTAAGATTTCTGCTCTCACCTGCCACACCCCTCTTCCATCTGCTACGACAATCTGTTAACATCGCAGCAAAATGAAACTGAGACGCTCTAATTACCCAGGAGGGTTCGATGGCACTCCTCCTCTAACATCTCCGGTGTGCTGTTCTGTTTATCCAACAAGCCCCCTCGGACTCAAAAGCACTTTAGCTCACATTAATTTTGCCATTTCTTTAATTTCATCCCACGCTGCCACGCCTGGGACCTCCCTCGCACGGCTGCAGATGTGGCACGCTGGATGATCTCGTCCAAAAAACAACGAGTACAAGCTGACGGATGTGAGGATGAGTCGCTCCGGTGTGAAAGTGAAAAGGAGGCCACACCGATAACCGCACAGAACCCCCTGCTGCACGGTACCATCGCTTCAAAGGAGAGCGCGGCTTAAAGGGGCTAACTAAAATTAGCCGGGCAACAGATAACCTGTGCCTTGAGATCAAAGTGGGGCTGAACTGTCAGGCTCTTCCACGGCGCCTGTGGTGGCAGAGCCTCAGAAGGAGGAATGTGAGGGAGCGATGGGCAGAGAGCGAGGGAGGCCGCTATGCTATTCATGCAGGGGGATGAGTGTTCAGGAGGCCCTATTTCGAGGTGTAAAGTTCCACGGCAGGAGATTATTCACGGGGGTTTGGGATTGAAGGGTCAAGGTTTTTGTGTGTTGCACATCCTCCGTCGCGCTTCAGGCTTCATATTCAGCACCGTGTTCCATCGCATTCATTTGTGTGTTTGTGAGAGCAGACAGCTTACTTCCAGGATAATGCTTTTTGTACTGCGCTGCGTCCTAAAGCTTCTTCTTTTTTGGGGAGAGTTTCCAAAATACTTTGAGGATTTGGGTATACATATTCATAGAAGCTTCGTCCTACCTCCAGAGCAGCTTCTTCACGAGGAACAGTAACTCGTTCTGTCAGTCTGGTCGATGCTTTTAAAGACCCCCTACAGTGAAAATCTAGGTTTTTTTTAAACTTGTTAACATATCCACTTGGTGATTAGCATTCATGTGTGAAATAAGCAGGCTGAGCATCTCTACCTTGAAGCTGCAGCGTGTCATTGACAACCTCCAAGACATGGATTCAGACTTCCAAGGTTAACAACAAACCTATGAACCTACAACAAACCTTCCTCTCCACGTCGTTATTCTTCTTCAGCATCGGCTTCTGGATCAGAAACATGAATTAGAAGTGTTCCTGCAGCATTGTTGGACTCAGATTCACACGTGTGGAGCTGCATTTAAGTCATTTTGTGGTAGCAAAGATTTATTTTCATGGGAAAAAAATCCTATATGTATAACTTTAATACACAGACGTGAGTTTTTAGGGTTTGTTTAATGACTAGGAGCAGCTTTAATAAGAAAACATGGACAGCATCTGCACTGATTTGGTCAAGTTTGCATTCTTGTGGCAGAAACTTGAGCTTTAATCATTTATTTACTACTTTTAGCTAAAAGATTAAACTTCTCTGCTCATTTTCTAACAAGTTTTCATGTGCTTTCAGTTTCATCTCATGCTGTTCATTTGATCCAATATGTGCATGTTTTCATTTTTTTTCTAAACCATTTTTTAAAAGATGAATTCACCAAATATTCTTAATGTCAAAGTTAAAGTACTTCTAATACTTCCCTGTTCAGAGTGTCTTAACCTGTGACATTAGCGGATATGATGTTGATGCACATGTGTAGCAGCGAGACGCAGCAGATAAACAACAACATCTATTTCATACTGGATTCATGCTCTACATGTCAAACCTGAATCTACGTTCTACCTTCTAATCGTAGGTACCTGATAAATCAAACGCTCAAAGGACCCATCTGCTCAATGCGACTGAGCTCTGTGAGCGTTTTAATTATTCTGAGTTGACTTCAGCTCAGTACATCCTTTTTTATGATCAAGTTTCTCCTTGAAGCGTCGATATACTGTTAATTGGGCCATCTTGTCGCTGATTTCCTCCTTTAATTAAGCATATATTGGCAGCTCAGCGCAGACACCATTTTGTCGCAGATCAAACAACATTTTTAATTAAATTAGGACGCTAAACTTCTAAATGAACCAGTGTGATAATGCCACTTTTATATTATTCTAAGATTTAACCAAGATTTCTATTGTGAATAAAGGATTAGACGTCATTAGTTTTAAGATATATTTGAACTGTAATATCCTGTTTGCTTACCAGCACAATGTGATGCTTCAGGTCCTAAATGTTTGCAGTTTGTCTGCAAGGATGATGTTGTTTTCGCTTGTCGGTTGTTTGCAGTGCCGGTGACATCTCCAGAGTTACTGTGGGGGTTTTATTTTGTTTGCTTTGTTTTCTTTTACGTCTCTTTTGGACTGTCAGAGATTTATAATCTATATCTACATCCGTGGAGTCGGCTGCATCCTGCTTGTCTCGTTCTCAGCATGGTAGGTTCACAAAGAGCTTCTGTGCATCACGAACAAGACGAGGAGAGAGAGAGAGAGACAGACGGATCATGACGCCCGCTAGTGTTCGGTGTGACTCAATGTGCAATTAGGCAAAACAACAAAGAAAACATTTGGAAACAGATCTTTTTTACCTGACAACCATAACGGCTGCATGGATGTGTGCGGCTGAAAGATGTGGCCTTCAACCAGCAAATCATTCAGTTGTATTGACAGCCAAGGACGCACTCAAGTGCTCCTCACAACCCTCCAGCAGGAGGTAACAGCTCCTCTGGGCCTCTATGGCCACTAGTGGCTCAGTAGAGTAAGGTTAACATAGTGGGCTGGTGCCGGTGTGAGGAGCGTTATTGATATCCTTCCTGTTGTGCCGGCTCAGAGATACTGACTGATGCTGTTCCACCAGTGAACCATTTACATACTTATTTCCCCGGCCAAACATCGCCACATGCACTGGTGGCCACCGGAGACCCTATATGCCTGTCTTTAATTGGCTATTGATTGACTCTGCCATGGCAGTGGGAGACAATAAATTACCGCCTGCTTGGGAGAGCGGGGCGGGGGGGTAGCAGACGAGTTGAGCGTGGGGGTGTCGGTGTTATTCTGAGTGTCAAATCTGCGGCTGCATTATTTATACGTCGCTCATTTTTATTTATGGAGCAAGGATCTGTGACGCAACACACAATGGAAACACGGCAATACAGGCTGCCTGCTGGACGCGCTTTATTTGCATAGGTCAGCACACACTGGTTCTGTTTGGAAAGATGGTGTGAGTGTGCAGAAAGGCAGTGTGCGTTTGGGAAGGATGAGCTATTCAGTTTAGGTCACCGAGAGCTTCCATTTGACATGAAATTAGTTTCTCTACCACCGTGTTCATTGTCAGAATAAATAATGCGCTGTCAGTTAGGCGCGTGCAGGTGTCTGCGTGTGTGTTGGCTCGTACAAATTGGTTTTCTTTGCAATGAAATATGATCATCTGCTCTTCACAAAGAATATAAATAGAAAAATACAACAACATAAAAAACATAAATGTGAGCTACCGTTGCTATGGTTTGCGCCGCACAAATTATTCACTACTTTCATTGTGGCTGTCTAATAAAACACATGAGAATGATGGGAAGGGAGCGAGGCTTCCAACTTTTGCAGCAAAGAGGGCAATTATTCTGCCTATTTGCTCTGGAGTGGAGCCTGACGTGGGAGCTCATCACGGCTTCTTTACAACAAAAAGTGCATCTTAACCTTTTCATTCACTCTTGGTACAAAAAGCCCAGAAGCTAATACGTGTTACCAAAGAGCACCGGCGTGATTTTACCATTTCTTAAAAATCTATTTCTTTAAAGTTTACCTTGACTTCACATGCATTCAATCTGCTAAATCAGGATTAAGTTTACATGAGATAAAGGAATCCTGACCTGAACTTTACTTGAACCTAAAGCACAATCATTCTCTGCTAATTAGCGCATGGAGCAACACCAAGACCCGCGTTAGCACCACAGCACAACGAGGTGTCACTCACAAATGACCACACACAAATAACACTCCTTCAGAGGTTAAACGGCCACCCTGTCACACACACACACACACACACACACACACACTCCGTCCACTTCACTGTTTCTTCAACCTGTGTGCTTTGTTCGCTCAGCCAGCTCGTCCATTCAAACAGCTTAATATAACCGGCCGGCGGAGCCAGATGAATCTGAGAGCAGAATTCCAGAGCTACGTCATCCTGCCGCCATGCTGCTCCGTACGCTGGGAACAATCCTGGGAATGTCCCCTCCTGCTGTGTTGCACACATCCAGGTCCTGTTCTGGTAAATGCCAGCGGACTCAGATGGGCTTTGATGCTCGGCTTGCACGTGAATGCCTTTGTGTGTACGCTTGTGCGTGGCCGGTGTGCGAGCATGTGTGCATTTCTGTGTGAATGCTGACAGGCAGCCAGCTCGGGTATTGATCTGTAGCCATTCCGACTGGAGCCCAAAGGGCAGGCTGTATCATCTGTCAGTCACTGAGAAGGGCATTACAGCCGTACTGATCTTAGATCACAAATCCCTCTCAGAGACAGAGAGGCAGAGGGAAAGAAGAGAGGAGGGAGGGGAGGCCGTCTGAGAGGAGGAGAAGAAAGATCCTGAAATGAGATGTATGAGATATACTGTGTACACCATCAGCCCCAACATGGAAACCGCTGAGAGGTGACGTGAGCGACACCGATCTCGTTACGATGCAGTTTTGCTGGGAAGCCGTGGATGTTGGCAGTGATGTGGATGCTACGATATCTACTTCACACAGATGTACCGCTGAGCAACAACTGATCAGTAATAAATTAAGGAACATGACAAAGAACCCCCAAGACATTGACCTCCAAACTCCTAGACCTCCCTGGAACGATTCATAGAGGCTCCACCACCAGCTTCCTGGAGCCAAAGGTTCTGCTGCAAACCTCCCACAGGCCACATGTTGGTGCCCTGATAGTACAGATCTGCTTAAGGAGGCTACACGACACAACACTGGTGCTTCTAATGCGTGTTAACATTGTGCCTCCGGTGAAGCTGCCCTCCCTTCA